GCATAGGTGTTGGCAGTGAAAAAACATGACATAGTTGATCACGGATACCCAATGTTGCTATTTGCTATAGCCAAACAGTAAAAATTGTTTTATAAAATTAACAATATAAATTAGTGATATATGCATTAATGATGCAAAATAGTGATTTTGTTTAAGTTTAGTATATTGATAAACATATACAATTATGTTAGACATATAAAAACATGAATCAAAATCAAACAGTGCTATAAGATTTTGCCAAATGACATCACTGGGGTGTAACTCTTACGCCAGCCCTGCTTGGGTGTAAACTATAAAATAAATAATTTCTAATATATCAATAAAAATAAAAAATAAAATTTAAACTTCCAAAGCGTTGTTAAATAAAAACAAAAGAATAAAAAGGGTACAGAAAAAATGACGAGGGAAGGTTTTTAATCAAAGCGCGTAAAGTATATTTTGGAATTTTTTGGTGTTACAGATTTGACACTTTCAGGCGTTGTTCAAACTCTAAACTTTTAACTCTAAAAGAATATTTTAATATAACTTTTTAACCTTAAAAGAATCTGTCCTTACGCAAAATCTAAAAGAAATTTTTCGAAGATAGATTTTTTCTAAATGTTAAAGCTATATTCACAATATTTACAGATATTCCGAGTTTTTGACAAAAAATTTATCAAATTGGTAACTTTGAACCGCTCTGTAGGTTATAAAAAATTGATCAATCCAGCCCTATAACAAACGTTCTTTGCCATTTATGTATTCATGTTGGATGCAAATGACAGACAACTCAATTTATGACCTTTCGTTTTGATCTTTTTGTTAAACTCTTGCATACAATGTGCAGCGATAAAGAATGTGCTATCGACCACGTAATGGTATGATCAACACCCTGAATATTACTTTAAACAAAATGTTTTCAAAATGGGCAACAAAGAAAAAAGATATTTTCATTATTTACTGGCAACCTAAACATGAATTTGTTTAATTACAAATTGTGAACAAACAATTGTGAAATAAATTTTTGTAAGATTCAATATTTGAAAAAGAAGCAATACTTTTAATTGCACAACTAGAGTATCAACAAACTTAGTAACTCTCATACGTCATCACAACTCATTTCCTTAATAGTAATTAAAAAAAAAAGTATTTAAAATAAAAAAACAGATCTATTTGACCATATCCCTAGTATGTTTTTGAATGCAAACTACTACCAACTCAACAACTGCATTTATGGTAAAACCAACATTAGCAACTATTAGAAGTATAAATCAAACTCTTTAAAAGTTTAGTAGCAATATCACAATCAATAGTCATTCGATCAAAGCTCTTATTGATAGTGAAAGCTCTGATAGTTTTATTTGCCTTAAACAAGTCAACTAACTCTCTCTCAAACTATCATCAACTAACAGCTCTGTTTAAAATGGCATCCATTCTTTGTCAACCTTGATTGTTGGGATTTTTTTAGTTGACATAAAAGTTCATGACTTAAACTATTCCAATATAAGACTACATGTAATGGACAAATTGTTTGCTGATGTTCGTTTTGACATTGATTTCCAGTCACAGCACCGAGGTGTAACACCTAATATTGGTGTTACACCTCGGTGTAACACCTAGTTTTGGTGTTACACCTCGGTGTAACACCAATATTAGGTGCACCAATACTAGCACTTCCTGTAGTTGGACTTGATACATTAAATGTAGAGCCACTGGATCTGTTCAAAAACCTCACCCCTGACTGTAAACCACTATCAATTTATTAAGAAAATAGTATGATTTTGAAGTATTGGGTTTCATTAAGAGCTCGTCAGCAATCTTAACTTGATCAGTAGTGCTGTATCTGTTTCCTCAATGTGATATATCAGCTATTAAACATATGTTTTTGTACCCAAAAAGTTGCCTTGAGGCTTAGAAGAATTTTACTGCCCAAAATTAATTGATCTTACTGCTAAAGTGTTAGATAATCTTTTCCTCAGATGAAATTGTTTATTAAGGTAAGATAAAGCAGTTTTCATGGCACAAAAAAAATGTAAAAATAATAATTATTATTATAATAAAAGTTTTATAATAATAATTATAAAATATAAACAAAAATAACATTCCTATTAGTGTTCTATTAGTTATAACAGAAAAGTAAAAAAATATTTTTGGATTTAGAAGAGTTCTTGAGGTTTCTTCTTGAACACAAAAATTTTGATGGATCCTAATATTAATGAGCAATTTTTCTTTTAAGAACTTTGTCGGGTACTCATCAGGTACATTTTTGCAATTGTTTTTAACAATAAATTTTCCTGAAAATAAAATTAATATTTTCATAAATTACATTTTGTTCTGCGTTTTTTGAGTACCAGGTTGACAAATTGAAAAAAAAAAATTTTTTCTCATATTTAGATTCATCAAATACTTTGATTCCTAGAGGAACCTCAGGAACTTTTAAAAAAAAATAAGTTAGTTTTTTACTAAAAGCAACAATTCAAAACAAAGGCAAAACTAATTTTTTCAAATTGCTGAAATATTTTCTTTATTTTAAGGAGACAAAAAGAAACCAAGCACAGACTGAAGCATTGTATTAGCAAAGAGCTGGTCAATTAACTAAATCTCTATTAAGCGGAATCTACAAATATGATGTAAATAGTACAACTTAAATACCGCTTATAAAGAACATTTGTAATCTTTTATCAATCAATTTTCATGCTCCACCAATTAAACGGGATTAAATAAATGAAAAATTATCTATTCTATTATACCAATCTGTAAACTTGGACGGAGTCATTGGAAATCAGCGGACTAGATTGACATATACTTCTTTGCACAAAACATTTCAGGTTAAAGATGTTGGGATATGAATTGGCTTAAAAATGTTATGGGTAGAAACCCATTGCATGTCACTATCTCATCTCCAGATGGGATAAAGGCATGCAATTGTTGTGGTTTATGGAGTGCTTGAAAATAGTTGTCCGTCTTCTTTGAAAAGTCTAATAAAAAAAGTTCATCCGCTAAAAAAAAATTATACTGTCTTTGTAAAAAATCTTATTGTTTGTCAATTGATAGATTGTGATGATTGCGACAATTGAATCTATTTTTCCTTCATAGGCCTGAAAAAACTACTCAAACAAAATACTATAACAAAGTATTATAAAGAGTGTCAAAAGAAGAAATAGATAGGGTTTATGAATTTTATGTGAAGGTTTTTTAATGCATTACTTGTTGAATAAACCGTCAGTTGTGATATGTATATATGTGTTCTGTTTGGAACTCAAGCACAGTGTTGACAAACTCGTAAATCACTATGTGTATATTTTTGTACTGTTTGGACCTCTGGCGTGGTATCGGCTTACCCGTAATTGATAATATTTGTGTTATTTTTGGACCTCTAGAAAGGCGTTTGCTAACCTGTAAATCATTATATGAATATTTGTGCTCTGTTTTGACCTCTGGCGTAGTGTTGGTAATTCTGATGTATTAAACAATTTTATTGGATAAATAAGATTTTTTTGAGATAGGTTTTCGTCAATGCTCCGAGAAATTTTTGATGATTTATAAAGATCATTTATGTATATTAACAAAAAAAAGTGGACCAAGTATGGACCCTTGTGGAACACCACATAATGCATGCATTAATAGATGAGATAAACTTTATTGTAAACAAACTGTTTACGGTTAGTTGGATAACTTTTGAACCATAACAGGGTTTTATCTTTAATACCATATGACATTAGTTTTTTTAACAGGATTTGAAGACTGATGGTATCAAAGGCTTTGGACAAATCAGTAAACACTCCTGGTGTAAAACAAGAGTTTTTCAAACAGTAAGTTATATTGCACGTAAGTTATATTGCGCGTAAGTTAAAGAATAGCATGCTTTGTTGAATTATTTTTAAAACCTAATTGGTTTTTTTATAGTATATTATTTTTAATAAGAAAATAGTAGATTTGGTTATACATTGTTTTTTTCTCAACTTAAAAAAAACAAACTGGAAGAACTGAAAGAGGAAGATAAGAGGAAGATAATGGAAGAACTGAAAGAGGAAGATAAGAAGAAGATAATGGAAGAACTGAAAGAGGAAGATAAGAGGAAGATAATGGAAGAACTGAAAGAGGAAGATAAGAGGAAGATAATGGAAGAACTGAAAGACGAAGATAAGAGAAAGATAATGGAAGAACTGAAAGAGGAAGATAAGAGGAAGATAATGGAAGAACTGAAAGAGGAAGATAAGAGGAATATAATGGAAGAACTGAAAGACGAAGATAAGAGGAAGATAATGGAAGAACTGAATTAGGAAGATAAGAGGAAGATAATGGAAGAACTGAAAGAGAAAGATAAGAGGAAGATAATGGAAGAACTGAAAGAGGAAGATAAGAAGAAGATAATGGAAAAACTGAAAGAGGAAGATAAGAGGAAGATAATGGAAGAACTGAAAGAGGAAGATAAGAGGAAGATAATGGAAAAACTGAAAGAGGAAGATAAGAGGAAGATAATGGAAGAACTGAAAGACGAAGATAAGAGGAAGATAATGGATAAACTGAAAGAGGAAGATAAGAAGAAGATAATGGAAGAACTGAAAGAGGAAGATAAGAAGAAGATAATGGAAGAACTGAAAGACGAAGATAAGAGGAAGATAATGGAAGAACTGAAAGACGAAGATAAGAGGAAGATAATGGAAGAACTGAAAGAGGAAGATAAGAAGAAGATAATGGAAGAACTGAAAGAGGAAGATAAGAAGAAGATAATGGAAGAACTGAAAGACGAAGATAAGAGGAAGATAATGGAAGAACTGAAAGAGGAAGATAAGAGGAAGATAATGGAAGAACTGAAAGAGGAAGATAAGAGGAAGATAATGGAAGAACTGAAAGACGAAGATAAGAGGAAGATAATGGAAGAACTGAATTAGGAAGATAAGAGGAAGATAATGGAAGAACTGAAAGAGAAAGATAAGAGGAAGATAATGGAAGAACTGAAAGAGGAAGATAAGAAGAAGATAATGTAAGAACTGAAAGAGGAAGATAAGAGGAAGATAATGGAAGAACTGAAAGAGGAAGATAAGAGGAAGATAATGGAAAAACTGAAAGAGGAAGATAAGAGGAAGATAATGGAAGAACTGAAAGACGAAGATAAGAGGAAGATAATGGATAAACTGAAAGAGGAAGATAAGAAGAAGATAATGGAAGAACTGAAAGAGGAAGATAAGAAGAAGATAATGGAAGAACTGAAAGACGAAGATAAGAGGAAGATAATGGAAGAACTGAAAGACGAAGATAAGAGGAAGATAATGGAAGAACTGAAAGAGGAAGATAAGAAGAAGATAATGGAAGAACTGAAAGAGGAAGATAAGAAGAAGATAATGGAAGAACTGAAAGACGAAGATAAGAGGAAGATAATGGAAGAACTGAAAGAGGAAGATAAGAGGAAGATAATGGAAGAACTGAAAGAGGAAGATAAGAGGAAGATAATGGAAGAACTGAAAGAGGAAGATAAGAGGAAGATAATGGAAAAACTGAAAGAGGAAGATAAGAGGAAGATAATGGAAGAACTGAAAGAGGAAGATAAGAGGAAGATAATGGAAGAACTGAAAGAGGAAATTAAGAGGAAGATAATGGAAGAACTGAAAGAGGAAATTAAGAGGAAGATAATGGAAGAACTGAAAGAGGAAGATAAGAGGAAGATAATGGAAGAACTGAAAGAGGAAGATAAGAGGAAGATAATGGAAGAACTGAAAGAGGAAGATAAGAAGAAGATAATGGAAGAACTGAAAGAGGAAGATAAGAAGAAGATAATGGAAGAACTGAAAGAGGAAGATAAGAGGAAGATAATGGAAGAACTGAAAGAGGAAGATAAGAGGAAGATAATGGAAGAACTGAAAGAGGAAGAAAAATTCATTTGTTCGATCCACTAATTTAAAGATTGGAATTATTTTTTCTATTTTTAGTTTATCTGGAAAATCCCTTTTGCAATTGATGTTTTGAAAATTTTATAAAGTATTTTTTTATAACATCGTAGGAATCAATCGCAATACTTGTGTTAATGTTATCATTTTCCAGTTGCTTTATTTCGTTTTAGTGACTTAAAAGGAACTTCAAATTCCTTAAAAGTTAACTCAGGAAATTTAGATTAGAATTTATTGGTGTTTTAAACTCATTAACAAATTTGTCTTTAATATATTGAATACTATTGGTAATTGGTAATTGCTAAGTATACCATAGCTTAATTTTGTTCCAATAACGGTAAAAAACTTGTTTAATTCAATTTAATTCATTTATTAATTTCTTTTCAATTTTTAAAAAAATTAGAGAGAACTCTAGAGTGAATTTGTATTTAGCTTAAGTTTTCCAGACAACTTTTAATAACTTGCAAGACATGTTTTGAATTGTACTTATATTTTATATACTTGTTGATTAAATGAAATACTAAATGAAACTTAAGTTATACTAAATGAAACTTATACGTCTAATCCATTTCATAAGGAATCACACAGATACAGCTCATTTATAATTAATACTGGAAAAGGTTTTTAGTTTGAAAGAAACAATCCAAATAATATTCAGAAACAAAACAAATGTTTGTTTCGTGAACAACATATTCCTTATGAAATGGGTTAGATGTATAAGTTTCATTTAGTTCTCTGCTTTTTGTACCAGAGTGATATGTTTCAGCAATAATAAACCAGCCTGATTTATCAAATAAGTTAGTTAACGTTTGTTCACATATCTAAAATTCAGCTTTTAGAAGATCAAAGATTTTACATCCTATTTAATATTGTTAATAAATTCACGGTATATAATTAATGTTAGTACTTCTGGTATCCTTTCAAAAACTATTGGGATTAGCAGAGGTACATTTATATTGCTATTAATACCTGAACTTTCAAGATTTCTTTTTGTATTTCTTAGCTTTCAAGAAATTGAATTAACTTGAAACTTAGATTGCACAAGTGTGGAGTTTATATATTTTATATAATAATAATAATGATAATAACAACAACAACAACAACAACAACAATAATAATAATAATAATAATAATAATAATAATAATAACAACAATATCAATAATAATCTATAATGAGCCTAACATTTTACATTTAGTAATTTTTGACAAATAAATAAAAAAAAGTTTTTCAATTGTGAAAAAGAGTTGACTCTATTTCGCAATTTAAGAAGAAAGTTTTTAAGTTGTGAAATAGAGTCAGAAGTTACTTAACAAACAGAAAACAATTTGTTGTTGGTAATGACAACTATTAGAACAATTGTTTAAGTTTAACCTGTGGAGTTCCATAAGTTTTAATCCTCGGGCCCCTCCTTTTTTTAATTTATATAAACAATCTAAATAAAGTAACTAATCTGATGAGCATCATGTTTGCCGATGATACTAATTTATTAATCTCTAAGAGTGATATTAGCGAACTTTTTGCCAGAGTGAATAAAGAACTTAAACTTTTATCCTACTGGTTCAAATCCAATAAATTAACATTAAATAATGACAAAACTAAATGGACTCTCTTTCATTCGCTTAGGAAAAAAAAAATTACCCTTAAACTTGTCTCAAATCTTTATTGATGAAATTGAAATAAAATGAGACTCCGTTATTAATTTCTTAGGTGTTTATCTTGATGAGAACATTAACTTGAATCAACATATTAATTGTGTATGCACTAAAGTGTCTAAAAACATTGGAATTTTATCGAAGCTTAAACTTATCTTAATAAGAAAAACTTAAAACAACTTTATTTCTCATTTATTCACTGCTACATAAACTGCGCTAAAATTGCCTGGGGAAGTACTGAAAAAAGTAAATTACATCGTCTTTATTGCTGCCAAAAACGAGCAACTCGCATCTTTGCTGATCGTTTATCTCATTGTAAACTTTAGTTTATTGAAATGAAAATTTTAAATATATTTGAACTCAACGTTTTGAAAATTTTATGATTTGTTTATATGTGGAAAAACAATCTATCTGCCCCAGTCTGGGTTTTAAACTGAAAGATCTTTTCAGTTTAAAATCCAGCAACAAATACACTCTTAAAAAAAAAAAAAATTATCTAACCTTTTTTTCACAAAAAATTTTAATCAATTTTGTCTTGCCTATCGCGTACCGCACCTATGGAATAAATTTGTTTTACCAAATGTTGATTTTGATCGACCAAATTCTTTTTGTCTTTTTAAAACCAAAATTAAAAATCTAATTTTTTCCCTCGATAACATCTTAGAGTACTACTAATTAAATTATCTATTATTTAGCTTTATTTTGAATTTTTATTATTTTTCTCTAAAGTTTTGTTGTTTACAACTATTTAAATTGTTTTTACATTTATATATGTTGTTTATATTGTTTAAAGTTTAGATTATGTAAAAAATTCTATTTATATATTCTACTTTATTGTAACGTATACTTTACAAGGTATTCGTAAATTAATTTAATTATTAATATTTTTAAGGTTCCGATGATAAGATCTTAGTGATCTTCTTACAGAAACCTAGTATACACTGTTTTTAAAGATGAAGAGGTAATTTATTACACAATTTTATGCATTGGTTTGTGATAGATTTATTATCGTATTTTAGCAAACAAAGATTTGAGATAATTTATAGTTACTAAAATATTGATCATAATAAAGAAAACTTTTTTTAGTGGTAAAAAAATTGCAAAATGAGGGAGGGGGAGGGGGAGGGGGAAATTAACTTGTTTATAATTCCAGGCAAACAAACAATTTAATAGATAAACAAGAAAACATAGTTTGAGTTTTTTTGATAGAAAGTAAAAGATTTCAGAATTAAAATTATATTTTTGAAAGTATATTATTTTTAAAGACTTGTTTTGTAGGTTAGATCTTAAAAAAGCATGAAACTCGCTTTGTCATCAAACCTGACAAAAATAACTGAGGTCACCCAAAAACTGCATGGTATATATTGAGTAAAGTTTCATAATTGATAAAATAACGAATTTGGGCTAGCAACCCCATTTGATCAACACAATTTCACTGATAAGAATTTAAGATGAGAAGAAAATTATAAATTTGAGTCAATTTTGATTCCAAGTTATTTTAATGTGATTACGGAAAAGATTTAGATGTTTATAGAAAGCTGTTCAAAAAAAATAATTTTTGACCTTTTTGCACGTTCTTTTAGCCTTGCGATTTTCATGAATCCGTACAAATTGTTATGAATGATTTTTATATTTTACTTGCAGCGTATTTACGTATATATAATTATATCTCTTTTATAAAAGAACGTAATAACGTATTCATAAAATATCTCTCTTTTATAAATTGTTACTAGATACGAATTAATGTAGTTTATCTAATTATGTCTTAAGGATAACTTTAGCAATACAAATCGCCCCCCCTCCTTTCTACTCGAAAAAACATAGATGGGGGAAACATAGATATTTCATATAATTAAATTGCTTTTACTGAACAAAAACAATGTTTTTGGCGCAAAAATAAAGTTTTCCATTGCATTAACTTTCGGTAACCCAAACATGATGGCTGCTTATTTTAAATAAATCTAGTCAAATTATTATTATTATTATTTTTTTGTATATGCAAATAACACAAAAAAAAGATGAACTAATAAAGCAAAAAATGTTTTAAAAAATAAAACAGCCCATGTCTTCTCAATACATTTAAAGTTCGTTAAATATAGTAAATAGTTAAATAATAACTATAAATTACATTAATTTAGTCTTATTATATAAGTTTTCTTTTAATTTAAAAATGTTTCAATTACAAATTAGGACTGTTAGGAAAAAAAATTTCTTTAAGATAAAGCAAAATTCGTTGAGTAAAAAAGTTAAAAAAAAAACAAAAAACGTTTTATACCATTGTGATTCAATTCAAAAATCGCAGGATTATTAAATAATTAAGATTAAATATATTTTTATTTTACATTAATAATAACAATAATAACAATAATATACTTTAGTTTTATTTAATTTTGAAATTTATTATTTAAGACATTATATTTTCTAGTGAGACGTCACTTTTTTAAATACATTAAAAAACTTTTTAAGGTAACACGACGATACACATTGGTAGTAATTCCCATTACAATCTTTATCGGTGGTACAACTTTTATTGCCGCCAGTTTTATTTTTGTTTGTATAACACCACCAAGTTTTATCAATCTAAAATAGTTGAAATGATAAATATTTAATATAGACATTAAATATTTGATAAAATATTCAATATAAGCTAAATACTCCCTCCATTCCAAAATTCTGTCCCAATTTTCGTAATTTTTTTTTACGATAAAACATATTTTATTAATTTATTTTATATATATTTTATTATATAAAAATATATATTTTATATAAAAAATAAAAAAATTAGCAACATAAATTATTTTCAATAACTCTTTACGTTGAATACAAGTCGCAACAATATTTCTTTAAGGGGAGTATTTAATTTAAGGTATCTACTGATAATATGCATAGCACTCAAAAAAAATTGTAAGTTTAATAATATTTCTCTTTCATAGGTTGCACTTCGATAAAAAACTACCTTTGCATATAGTTAGGACAATCTTTTCATTATACTATAATAGCAGTGCAACTGTCTCATACTAAGGTTGCAAATCAAATGAATTTTATCTTAAACAAGGAGTAAGACAAGGTTCAGTTTTATCACCGCACCTTTATAATATTTATACCCAGGACCTTCTCAAAACCATTAAAAATAAAAGTAATATAGGTACATCTATATATTGTAACTTTACTAGTGTGGTAGCGTATGCTGACGATATTATACTTTTAAGCTCAACTCTATCTGGTCTGGAAAAATTAATCAAAATTTGTAATTTATACTGCAATTCAAACTGAGTTTCTCCTGACAGGTAAAAAACAATTACAAAGTTGCTCAATATCTTTCAATGGTAATCAAATAAATTTACACAATAGACTAAAACACTTAGGGTTTACATGGAATATGGAGCATTCTACATTTGCATCACTTGATCGGTTAAACATTGCTGAAAAAATATCTAATTTTAGGGCAGCTGCCCAAACTCTTATTCAACTTGGAATCCATTTTGCTCATCCAAAACCCATCACACAATTATATCAAACCTTGACAGTACCAACATTAACTTACGGTCTGGAACTTTGTAAAACCTATGGCGTAACAAAGCAAAACCTAGACAGAATTGGAAGAAGTGCATTAAAATTGTTTTTCAACCTTTCAAAACATTGCAAAAATTATTTACACCCGTTATTTAAAATTCAAGGCATACAAAAGTGTATTCACCAAAATAAACTGAGCTTTTTTATTCGTCTTTTGGGCGAATAACAGATCGACAAATGATATTATTCAATCTCAGCTTAAAATTCCGACGGTAAAACAATCTTTTGTAGATGATGTCCAGCAAGTGTGCCATATTAGTGGACTAAATTTAAAAAAATTAAAGAATGAAAAAAATAGAATACGTTATGTGGTGGTGGTGGATAAAATCCCAAAAGATATTGAGAAAAAATTAAAATACTCAGATTGGTGAAACATAAAAGAACAGAGAAACATTTTCAAGAAAACTCTAGAAGAAAACATTCTAAAATCATTTCTTTTCTTCTTTTCAAAGTTTAAACAATTTTTTTTTGTGTGTACTTTTACCTTGTAAAAATATTTAAAGTAGGTGGTGAAGAAAATAAAAATAATAATATGATAATATATTTAACTATAGTTAAATTTTATAAATAAAAAATAAAGGAAAGATGCATTAATGTATTGATTCTCTTAACTTTTTAGTACACAGGAGTTGAAAATATTAAAGCCATTTTGCATCGCTTCGATATTCATAATTAGTGACTTTAAATATTTTTTGAAACAATATTTATAGTCAATAACTATGCTTAATATTATAAATTTAGCAACATTTATATATATAAATGTTATACATATACACATTTATATATATAAATGTGTATATGTGTAATGTAATGTGTAATGTAAGGTGTAATGTAATGTGTAATGTAATGTGTAATGTAATGTGTAATGTAATGTGTAATGTAATGTGTAATGTAATGTGTAATGTAATGTGTAATGTAATGTGTAATGTAATGTGTAATGTAATGTGTAATGTAATGTGTAATGTAATGTGTAATGTAGTGTGTAATATAAAGTGTAATGTAATATGTATATAAATTGTGTTGATAAGATTAGTTTACAAGCCAATAATTTTCAAAATGTCTCGGAAACGAATTAAGGTGGGTAGAAAGTTATGAATTTTTTTTGCAAAAATCAATCGACTTCATATCGATTGGATGCTAAACGTACAAATGTCCCAAAATCTGCACACATAGATATTATAAATAAGTTTAAGACTACTCTAAGCTTAGAAAAAAAATCTGGAAATGGAAAAAAGAAAACTTTTCATAAATTCAAATAGTTTAAGTAGATACTCAGTTCAATTGCAAGAAATCCAAACAAGCCACGGCGAGAACTAAAAAAAAGTCAAGATTTCGCACTCATATATCAAAAAATTACTCAAAAATTCTATAATTTAAGCATTTTATAAGAAAAATACTCATAAGAGAAGCTTTAGCGGTGAAATTAAAGGAATTGGATGCGTAAATAAGTTGGTTAATATAATAACGGATAAAAGTATGTGCATAATTAAAGATGACAAAACATATTTCAAAGCAAATTTTTCACAGCTACTTGGTCAACAATTTTACTATGAGAACAATGATAAACCTGTCGATGATCAATTTAAATAAATTCAAAAAGAAAAAATTTGCATTCAAGTTCCTAATGAGGCAAGTAATTTGTAGCTGTTGTATGCAGTTCTCTTGCTTTGTCACTAAGAAGACCTTGACTGCCAATCTCTACAGCAAAGAATACCTGTAAAAAAGACTTTAAAGAATTTATAAAAAAAACACAAATATCGATATCTCTTTTGGAGTAACAAAAAAAAAAAAAAATATGGACTTCCAAAAAGAGTGTAATAATCAATTAATGAAAAAAATAATCAATTGATAAAAAAAATACAAATACTAATATGTTTTTTGGAGCAACAAAAAGCAAAATGGACTTCCAAAAAGAGTGCAATAACGCTACCAATAATGTGAAAAAAGAAAAACTCTGCGAAATGATGGCGTCAACCCGCTCTAAAATTTAATCTCTTGCCAAACAGCCCATCAAGCTCCCTCAAAATAAAGTTAATATCCTAATTGATGTAAACACATTTAATATAAAAAAAAATTTGAAATAAAAAGCATATTTGATATGAGAAATCCTAATTTAAAGTTGACCAGAATTTTTCCGTCCCACTCGATATTATGGTTGAACTTTTTTGTTTGCCTGAATCAACGCTAAATAATCCTTACTCGAGCATACTCTGAATACGCATAATTTCCCTGCTTAGCATATTATATTTATGTTTAAAATTTTATTTTTTTTGCAGATAAGACAGAAGTATAAAGATAAGAAAGTGACTATTAAAAACCAAATCAATTGTCCAAGAATAAGTTATTAGATTCAAAATGGGATGTTAGAAATTTGTTGTTTAAAAAAAAAAAGACCTTGCTAATAAGAGAGAGAAGACCAGGCAAAAGTTGAAGAAGATTGGACAATAGTTGGTGGGGCCAGAACCTTTTCCACAACTTTTTAAAACATTGAACTACAGATGCCATCGTTTAGCGGGCAGAAAAAAAAGATTCAGTTAGGAACTTGTTAAATAGTTTAAAGAGAATCGGAGAGAGTTCTAAAGAACACTTTTGTAAGACTATAATAGAAACATTGTCTGGACCACAAGCCGTAAAAATGTTTAATTGAAATGTGACTTAGACATCAGAAGTCGGAGTAATTTGGATGTATAACAACTGGTTAACTTATTTAAACGAAATTGCAGGAAAAGTATGGGTATTAGATTTAAGAGTTGAATGCACGTGCTGTTTAAAAATTTACTAGATTCCCAGTATAAATAATATCAAATAGCACAAATATTTGAGGCTATAATTTTAAGCACGTTTTTATGAAGATAAGTTTGTTTGATTCAGTTGCAGAACTCTATTTGGAATAAAACCTGATATACAATATAAAAAATCATAAATTTGCAAAGTTGATACTTGTAAATATTTATCTATAGTGTCTTTCCTAAAAAAAGTTTTACACGGAAGCTTCACAAAAACAAATTTTTCTCTAAGAGTGTTTTGTTAAAACTTAGTTAACATTAAAAAAAGTAGTTTTAATTTAAATAGAACAAATAAAACTATAGTTTATAACTTTACTAATATAAATTTTGGAAGTTAAAGTAATTTACTAATGTTTTAAAACCATTCATATTTTGAACTTCTCACAGTTTTAGAAAAAGTATCGAATAATAAAAAAAGATTTTAAATATGTTTTTATGGTGCAAAGATGGTCCAACTGACGCAGCATATACAATATCAGATTTAGGTTGGATGGAGAAGTTCAAAATATAAAAGTTATTGATTGGTTAGAAAGGGATTAACCCCAGCAATTAGTTTAATTGACTGAAAACAAATTTTGTTCGAAAATTGCAGCAATCATATTTCTTTAAAGGATATGTAAATTTGTAAGAAAAACAACATACTACGAGTTTGCTCCTTCAACTTGTTTTTTTCAATAATTAGACCAGGGAACTTTTTATCACATTAAAGTCATATTAAAAATCATAAAAATGTAGAAATGTAAAGATGTTTTTCTAAGTTTTATAAAAATTTCATATGAAAGTGGTAAGAGTTCCACACGCAGTCAGTGGAATTGAAGAAACAGAAGTTATTTGTTTCATTAAGTCAAATATTGACATTACAAATTAAAAATAAAAAAAACATTCAAAGGTCAAACACCAGGGCTAGCATCAAAATCTTTAATTCATCAACACCCACAACCAATATATTCATTATTTAAGTCAAATATTATAAAAGAGCTCACGTTTCCATTAAAATTAGTTAGAATGTGCAATAAAAACAATTTTCTAATAAATTAATGTGTCTGATAAACATATCAGCAAAGCAATAAACAATTCAATAATTCAATCTTCTCGCTATTTTTATTTTTAACATAAACAGCCATAAAACTACAATAAGCATTTTGACTTAAGACATTTAAAACTTTATTTCCGGATCATTATCTTTTTAAAAGATTTTAAAATAAAATAATTTTTACTTAAGATATTTTTTTTTACCACTTTTTCTAGTAGATTAACACGAAATAAAAACCTTTAAAACTGAAAAAAATCTTTTTTTAAAACAGTAAAACGTGCAAAAAGTAAGTGGGAGAAAATGAGAGAACTTTATATGGCCATATCATTTGAGCGTCAAAATACATTTTATGAAAACCTGCAATCAAACTATAAATTTTAATCCTACTTAAGGTGAATAAATACATATTTTTTTCTAATTATTCTTACTGAATAAGAGGTTACAAGAGGAGTTTCTCATTATATTTTTGTTTAGATATCAGTTCAAGTAGTGAGTGCATCATGTTAATTTATTATTCAAAGGCTAAATGCATCTGATTACCACAATAGCATCAAAATTCCGGACTACTTGTATTGAAAGAATTAATTTAGTTAGGAACATTCGCGATTTTAAATCTTTTTTTGAAACTATTAGGAATAGCGATTTTAAAAATGAATAAAATCTAATTTAATTAATTTATCCAATTTAATTTTATGTTGAAAAATGGTTTAACCTGCAAAGCATACACTAAATCAGATTTGGGATGAACGGAGAAATTGAAAACTATTGAATGGTTATAATTGCGGTTCACCCCAGCAATTATTCTAACTGACGAACACATTTTTTTGTTAGAAAGTCGCAGCAATTTTGTTTCATCAAAAGTTATTTGCAAAAATAAATAAATTTGTTAAATCGTAACAAAAATGTCAAGCATTTTTTAAATTCTCTACTCCAAAATAACTTGATTCCAACAATAAACATGCCAACAAGAGTAATCAATAACTCATCCACACCTCTTGATAACATGATAACAAATAACTTTTGTGATGACCAGCTTTGTGTCGGTATAATCAAGAGTGACCTCTTGTCAGCTTTTTTTTCAGCTAATATTGGGCCGAACGTTTTGATTTTTTTAAAAAAAGATTTAGTACGCATACGGACGAATCTAATCTTAATGTTTTCGAATCGCGAGATGTTCTTAATTGCGTTTAAAAAAAAAAAAAAAGTGCAGGTTTGATAAAATTTGCGCATATGTACTGTATTTGATGTCATTGAAACATCTTTATTAGATATCTTTAAAAATGTACTGCATTTGATATCATTGAAACATCTTTATTAGATTTTAAACTTTCTTTAAAATCAGGTGTTGTTCAGGATAAGTTAAAAATTGCCCGAATCAAACCAATTTTTAGGAGTGGAGATGACTCATACATTTCAAACTACAGACCAATTTCAAACTTGCCTTGTTTATCAAACATATTTAAGCGTATAATGTACAACAGACGCTATGAATATTTGACAAAAAACGACACTTTGTATAATAAACAGTTCGCGTTCAAAAAAAAGCATTCAACCGAACACCCAGTAGTCAAGCTTGTAAACGAGATATCGGACGCTCTAAACAACAATTACTTTACATTTGGAGTTTTCAGTGATCTGTCCATAGCATTTAATACAGTAGTCCTGATATACTGCTAAGTGAACGTGTACACTATGACATTAGAAATAAAAATTTACATTGGTTGAAAGACTATTTAACAAACAGAAAACAACTCATATGCTACGATTCAAAAAAAGTAGTTAAACACTCAAAAACTTGTGGGGTTCCACAGGGTTCTATTCTTGGGCCATTGTTGTTTTTACTGTACATAAATGATCTTTATTTATCATCAAATCTTATAAATTTTATTCTATTTGCAGATGACTCTAATTTCTTTTATTCACACAAAGGTTTTTATACTTTTTAAACATGTTAATGAACAAGTAGATAAAGTTAATAAGTGGCTTGTAAGTAACAAACTTTTTCAAAATGCTCATAAAACTAAATTTATTTTGTTCCAAAAATTGAATAAAACTGATAACGTCCCGTTAAAATAAGCAAACCTTATTATAAATAAAGCTATAATTAAAAGATAATCATTCGTAAACTTTTTAGGCGTTGAGTTGGACAAAAATTTAAGATTTTCATATAAATAGTCTTGAAAAAAATGTTTTCAGATATATAGGAATGGTTTATATAGCTGAACCATTTCTTAATTTTAGATCGCTAAAAGATTTATACTTTGCTTTTATCCAAAGTTACCATACTGTAATATCACCTGGGCAAGTACCAATCATACTAAATTAAAAAAACTTTATAGTAAACAAAAACATGCATGTCGAATTATATTTGAAGCAAATAGAGCAGAACCCTGTGAGCCTTTATTGTGTTTACTTGAAGCTTTAAATATTTATAAAACAAATTTACATGATATTTTAGTTATATGTATAGAACTAAGCTAGGAATGTCGCCAAAAATATTTGAATTCTATTTTAGTGAAATCTGCCATAAATATAGCACAAGATTCTCAGCCAACAACTTTGCTGTCCCAAGATATAGTCTAAAATTGAGTTCATACTCAATTAAGTATCGTGGGCCGTATTTAAGGAATTTATTTTCAGATATTACAAATAAAAAGAAAACCACCCTTGATTGATTTAAAAAAGAATCTAAACAGTTGTTTTTATGTATGGATCTCACTATGCTAGATTTTAAATGTTTCTTTTAAATAAAGTAAAGTTCTAATAAAAAATTAAGATATCTTCAAAAAAAAAATTATTATTTTTAAAGATTATTATTATCACAATCCACCATAACAAAGTTATATTTCTTTGAAAAGAAATATACATATATTTGTATTTAGAGATTAATGATATTAATCTCTAAATACAAATATATGTATATTTCTTTTCAAAGAATATTATTATCACAATCCACAATAACAAAGTTTATTAATGATGTTAATCTCTCAATACAAATATATGTATATATCTCTTTTTTTCATCTAATTTTGTTTATTACAAAAATATAATCATTTTTTTACAACTGCGGCTGCCTTCTTCTTCTTTTTGCAACTGCAGATAATGTATCTTCGTAAGGATTTTGGCAATTACTATTTACTACTTTGTATATTTACGCCAATATATTACGATATTTATAAATCGCGGTTTTATAAAAATGGGGCTCGGTGATAAGACAGAATTATGACTTCTTCTTGCTCCAGCCATTATTGGTTTTGTTGTATAAATATATAAAAACTTTATTTATTGTAGAAGGCGAAATAAACTTACTACGAGTCTAATTAGTTAAACTGTTTTTTAAAAAACTAAACATAGTTACTTATTATTACGTTTAAGTTATCTTTAAAAAAATATTAAAATCATATTTTGGTTTATAAAATTTCGAAGTGTTGATAAAGGTAATTTATTAGATTTTATAAAAATTTATAAAAAAGTGACAAGTGCTTTGCTTGCAATCAGCGCGTTCAAAATAAAATTTAGCAAAAACATTTGCTCAAAAATATAATCTTTTTCGTACTAAAAAGAGAAAATAAATTTTTTAATTTAAATTAAAAAGTTCAGTAAACTAAAGATTGACTAACGATTGATCTGCGCAAGGTTTATATAGAAACATACCTAGCACAACTAGCCTTTGCGGACCCTGGTTAAGTGGCCTCTATATGGCAATTAGCCGGAGGAAGATAAACCACAATACCAGAGCTCATGACAAGTGATCTCCAATCAAAACTTTGTCGCCGTACATTACTTAGGTTAACCTAACTAACAGTGCGTTTTGCATTTATGTGCGCTTTCTCTATGCTACCTTTCTAACTCGACTACTTCTGCCTTTCACTCTAACATTATCTTCGTTCTACGTCATAACCTGCTCTACTCCGTAGAGTAGGTTATGACGTTCCTTGAGGAGCCGAACCTGTCTTTGTGGGCCATGATAACGTGGCCTCTATATGGCAATTAGCTGGAGGAGGATAAACCACAATACCAAAGTTCATATTAAGTGAAAGAAAAGGTTATAGAAACAAAGTTTTTCCTTTCATCGAGTTAAATATTGACATATCAAAATTAAAAATAAAAGAACTAGTAAATGTCTACCACCAGGGCCAGCATTAAAATCATCATCGACTTTATTATCAACTGCTTAATGTTGCTCATCAATTCATCAACAATAATATCCCTTACTTAAGTCGAGTAATATAAAAAGCTCAAATTTCTTTTAAAATTCATTTAGAATCTGCAATAATTTTTTTTTTTTTTATAAACTATTGTCTTAAATAAACTTATCAACAAACCAACAAAAAAACAATGCAACGAACATACCGTATTGATGTTTGCATTTTTATTATAAGCAGGTATGAAACTACAATAAGCATAGCATTTTGACTGATTACAACCATATAAAACTTTATTCCCAGCTGGATTAATTCCGTTTAGTTCACATTTTATTTGCAAAACTGCTGCAAAGACTGCCACTATAGAAATTATTTTGTTCATTTGTTGCTGCTTTTTTAAACATAAATAAAATTCAATATTTAAATAAAATTTCAAATTTTATATTTTCATTTAATTTGAAAAATATATATAATATATATATATAATATATATAATATATATATATATATATATATATATATATATATATATATATATATATAAACTACAAAGTATCACAGTATATGTAATGGAGTAAAACATCTAAGGATAAATAAGACATTTAACAAAATTCAAACAAATAAAAAATATCGGGAAAATTAATGTTTAATGACCTAGAGCTGATGAGTGTTTGGAAAGTTTGCTTTATATAGGCCTCTAAACAGTCTACGAAAAAGGAATCAAAAGTTTATTTTACATTTTTTATGGATAATATTGAATACAGATTAAAATTGTTTTATCATTTTAACAAAGAAAATATCCTTGTATTTTAAAAGTTTAATAGATTGTTTGAAAACATTAGGGCTACAACTTAACTCTATGCTTTACATTTTAGTTTTTTGTTCTGTTACCTGTTATTTACTATAAGCATTGTAAACTGGAATAATTGTTTTATATAGATTACAACGGACATCTTATAAATAAAAGTATTACTGCCCACACGTTATGATTACTGCCCACACATTATGAACGCATTTAATAACTGTTGAGTAATACTTAACAATAAAAATGTTCAAATGTGAAAATGTTTAAAATGTTTAAAACGTTAGTAAACTAGCAAAGTAGAATACCATAGTATAATACCCGCCCTATTGCTTTTTTGTCTTATAAAATTCTCCATTGCATAGTATTCTCTCACGAGATTTAAAACAGGTTCAGAACAAATAAGCGCTCAGGTTAAAAATAGCACAGTCAAATAGTAACTAGTATTGCCATAGAGGAAAATAAAATACCCTGAAAGTATATAAACACCACTAACGTTAAAAACTAGACGTTCAAGAGCAGATCGTTATGATCTTGTCGTTAGAATCTTAAACTAGTTTAGACAGAACAATATGTTATATAGCATCAATAAAAAACATATAACCTAATAAAGTAATATATATATATATATATATATATATATATATATATATATATATATATATATATATATATATATATATATATATATATATATATATTACTTTAGGACGGCCACAATTGATGATTTTTACCCAGTCGACAAACTTTTAGTGAGTATTTTTTTTTACTGAGAATACAAAAATATATAAATATATATTAATAATTATATACAAATTTATACAATTATTTTATGTAAGAATAAGTATTTATTGATTTGTTAATAAAATTACAATAACTCAAAATAATTTTTTTTATTTTCTTCAATTCATTTTGTGTATATTTGTGTACAATTTTAAAAATGTTTTATTTAGTTAAGAACATTTCATGCATGCGGATTTTTCCGCTAACCAATCATTGACATTGATTAATAGTTTTGTTTTTAAAAAGTAAGGCAAAATCTAGGGTCTTCTTGAAACTAGTGCCATTCCACGTTGTTTGGAAACTATAAAGTTCAAAGGTGATTAGTTATAAAAAAATTTATTTTTAACCGTATTTTGATTCTTAGAGAGCGTTTCTACGGCAAGTTATAATCAGAAAACGCTTTTTGTTGGTTAAATAAACTTTTGCCGCTGGTACCTTAAATTGTTTAACATTCCTATAGGAAATACTTTTTTATAAGTTCTTCTATATTATATCGTTTGTTACTTAAGTACTATGTTCAATAAGTTTTCTCTCAATCCGGGTTTTTTTAATTGATGACATTTTCATGAGCCTATCAAGTCTTGTATCTTAGGCCATTAAGTTTGCTTGTACAAGTGTCATATGTGCGTAAAGAATTTGATAACGAGGTAGATTATTGAATTTTGATTGGTTCAGAATTTTTTTTCTTGCAGCTGTTCTGAAATTACCATTTTACGCGTAAAATTATTTCTCAGAACTATTAGTCAATTTTGTCATTTATTCTAATTTTTTGATTTATGTTAATTTCAATTTTGTCATTTTTGTCATTTGTCAATTTTGTCATTTATTTTAACAGAACTATTAGTCAATTTTGTCATTTATTTTATTGTTGCAATCAAGTTACACCAGATAAAATTTGTATAAAACAAAGATTGACACATAAATTTTTAATCAAATTCACATCAAAAATCATATCCCACATCACTTCAAGCACTGTAAATATATATATATATATATATATATATATATATATATATATATATATATATATATATATATATATATATATATATATATATATATATATATATATATATATATATATATATACATATATATATATATATATATATATATATATATACATATATATATATATATATATATATATATATATATAATATATATATATATATATACACACACGTATATATATATATATATATATATATATATATATATATATATATATATATATATATATATATATATATATATATATATATATATATATATATATATATAAATATAAAAAGCACAATAACCGATAACTTGTTTAATATCGGCTTGACAAAAAGGCTCAAAATAGAACGTTGGTATTTCACATAAAGTACTATTTGCTAGGTTTTAAGGTAAAAAGATTATTAAAGATAGCAGAAGAAAGATTATTTTTACACATAAACGTAAAATTCTAAAAATATTGAGTTTGCAAATATTTAGTATTTTTATTTCAGAAAAGAGGTGTTTAAAGTTAATCAAAATTTGTTATAGGTTTTACATAATTTTGGCGGCGATAAAAAGATTGAAATTCACATTTTTATGTGTTTGCAATATTTGACTCATATATTTATTCTTCATATATTTATAATTTGACTCATATATTTATTATTATATTTTAAATACATAATAAAGTTGGGATAAAACTATTTTAGTTGTATAGATTCTACAGAAGTCTCATCATCTGCTGTAGGGAACCTGAACAAGTTTGAAATCTTTTTGACTTTTTTTTTTTAAAGATTAGAAAATTGGCATCATAACCCGAATAAAATATTTTATTTTAACAATTCATAACAATTTTATTGGCGTCGTTTTTTATGCGCTTTCTACGAAGTAGCGATGATTGTTTTTTAAACTGTTTAATATTGTTCTTGTCATATATGCAATTCAATGTCATATATGCGATTTGTTTTATTAATAGGTTTAGTCTTAGTGTTTAAGTTGATTGATAGGAATGATGGGAAATGGTCAAATTAATCTTTTTTTTTTTTTTTTTTTTTAAATACATTTTTTTTTAATTACTATTAAGGAAACCAGTTGTGATGACGTATGAGAGTTACTATGTTTTTTGATACTCTAGTTGTGCAATTAAAAGTATTGCTTCTTTTTCAAATATTGAATCGTAAAAAATTTTATTTCATAGTTGTTTTGAAGATAAACAACCTCATGTTTAGATTGCCAGTAAATAATGAAAATATCTTTTTTCTTTGCCGCCTTTTTTAAAAACATTTTGTTTAAAGTAATACTCAGGGTATCGACCAGACCATTACGTGGTCGATAACAGCAACCTAATAGTATATATTAAGATTTATGGTTTAAAATATCAATAGCCCAAGTTTCTTTTATCGCTGAACATTATAAACAAGAGTTTAACAAAAAGGTCAAAACAAAAGGTCATAAATTGACTTGTTCAGTCATTTGCATCCAACATGAATACATAAATGGCAAAAAACGTTTGTTATAGAGTTCAATTGAGCAATTTTTTATAACCTGCAGAGCGGTTCAAAGTCAAAAATTTGTTTAAATTTTTGTGAAAAACGTGGAATACCTGGAAATATTATAAATATTTCCAGATATTCCATGCTATAGCTTTAACATTTAGAAATAATCTTTGAAAAATTTCTTTTCGAAATCGCACAATGACAGGTTTTTTCAAAGTTAAAAATTTATATGAGTATATTCTTTTAGAGTTAAAAGTTTAGAGTTTGCACAGCGCCTGAAAGTGTCAAATCTGCTACACCAAAAAAATCCAAAATATGCCACTCGCCCTATGATTAAAAACCTTCCCTCATCATTTTTTTTCTACCCTTTTTAATCTTTTGTTTTTATTTGACAACGCTTTGGAAGTTTTAATTTTATTTTTCATATTTATTGATATATTAGAAATTATTTATTTTATAGTTTACACCCCAGCAGGGCTGGCGTAAGGGCCATGCGAATTATGCCGTCGCATACGGCGTTGGGGTTTTTGGAGCGCCGCTCTGGTTAAGCCTACGTTTTTTTTTCTTATTTATTTAAACCATATTTTTGAATTGAAAAAAATTAACTTAAATATAATTTTAGGCTCCCATAATGCGTACATGTACTTAGTTGTTTATATATTAGGGGCGCCAAATTTTAATATGTTACAATATTGAATTTGTACATTTTGCTCAGAACTTCAATGAAAAAATACATTAAGTAGTAATAGATAAATGTTGAATAAAATTTTTGAGTTTATTGTTTATTTGAATCGTGTTTTTTTGTATGTTAAGTGTTTATTGAAATTGTAAATTTACGTTTAGGGGCGCCATAATTTATTTTTAAACAATTAATTTTGTATGCATTTGCTCTGCAATATCAACGTAAAAGTAATAACAGCAAAAAGTAATAGTTAGTTAATTATTTGAAAGAATAAGTTATCATGGTGACAAAAAAGAAGACTTTGGCTTTTTATAGAAAACACAAATCAGATATAGAGAGTGAAGTCAAAAACAAGCATTGAACTAATCGGTCCAAACAACAATCAGTTGTTGTATCAATTGTAAGATTTGGTTTAAAAGTGCATTTGTTACAAACAAATTAGTTAATTAATACAAAATAATAATAATTTAGAGAGCTAATAGATTACCGTTTAATAACCATTGTGTTCTATTTTTATAATATTATTCTCTTGATGCTGGGTGTTTGGTTTATATTTAACCATTTTTATAAAGCATAACAAACAGAAACTAAAACAACTTGTACTCTAGGAGAGAAAGATTTCAGGAGAAAATTCACAGGCTCAAGATTTAATAGACATTCCT